GAGAACCGTCACGCCGCAGAGAGAGACGGGGCGTACGATGGCCAACGATTGCAGGGGGAAAAATGCTAGGGGTACACCAAATGTGTACCTCATTTGTCCCCCACCCCCTCCTTGTCCACAAAAAAAGGCAAGAAATTCAAAATAAATAAATAAATAAAAATAAAATAAAAATGGGTGGTGGAGAATGGGGTGGTGTACATTTGGGGTACACCTTTGGTGTACCCCTAGCATTGCTCGATCAGCGTCTTTGTGCGGGCTGTACGCCGAGACTTAGGCGGGGCGTGGGTGACGTTTTTTTTTGGTTTTTTTTATTTTATGATCAGTAAAATGGTTTACTTAATCTAAATCCTTTACTATAATAAAGGAGACTCCGATTCACAAGCATTTGACGTTTGGCATGTCTATTTGGCAAATTTTTAACATGTCAGCGCCATGTAATCCTTTACTATAATATTTTTAACTCATGTTTCAAGAAATTGACATGTGTCATCTTACATGACAATTTTTAAATGATATGGCACATGAATAAATTACATGACATGCTTTAAATTCTCATTCATTATTTATTGAAATTTATTTATGATAATCTTTAAAATATGATGAGTTTAAAACAATATATTTTATATTGAAAAAATATGGATATTTTAATTTATTGAAAATTATGTAAATGAAATAAATGTAATTTTCAACAAAAAGTAAATAAATTAATAATAAAAAAGAAACTAATCATTATTAGCCCGGGTCTTTTTTAATAAAAATAAAAATCATATTAAAAGTCTATTGAGTAAAATATAGTTTTTTTAAAAATTATTAATTTATTATTTTGTATGAAAATTTATTGAGCTTAAATATACTCTCGAGTAGCTCATCTTATACCTTTAATTAAAGATGAGAAACTTATTAAATAAATTTAGTGCATTATGGGTTTATGTACATTAGATAATTTTTAATATGAAAAGTTTGTGGTTTAATGTATTCAATAACTTTTTTAATAATTAAAATTTCCTTAAATATATAATAGGGAGGATAAAAAATATATCAAGATTTAAATTTTGTTTGAGATATTTTATATATTTACATCAAAATATTGATAGTCTTTAAAAGTATTTATTTATGATAGAGATGTAGTTTATAAATGATAAAACTTTTGTTTTTAAATGAAAGCATTTTTATAAAGGAAATATAAATTTCAAAAAGAATTGTTTTCATCCTCTTTATTAATAGGACTTTTTGAGCCTTTGTTTCTTTATTGGAACATAATTTTCATAGAGAAAATATATAACAGTAAAAATAGATCATTGAAAAAAATACAATCATAATATTCATATATTTATAGAGTCAAGTATCGAATGACAACATATATTTTTGAATAGAATATATTAAAATAGTTTCATTGCTCTAAATGGTTTGAAAAAGATATGAATACCTCATTTATTTTCAAAACTTATTTTAAAAATAATGTCTATCATTTAAAAAGGTTACACACGCACCACATCGGTTCGTGCTATTTTATGTTCATTTTTATTAAAAGGGGGCATTGATACGCATTTCAATCAACATGAGCTGATGAACGTCAATGCATATTATCATTTTTTAGCTTTTTTCATATATAATTGTTTTTATAATGTTTTAAAATTCAAATTGGTTTATATTTGAAATAAAAATCAAAATTAAAAAAAGCATATACTTTCCTCATCTAAAGTTAAACATTTTTGTTTTTATAAATTTGGATGAAAAGTATTATTGTTTATTTGGTGAATATGCATTTGCATGAAAACAAAATATTAATTTCGTAAACTAGTAATACACAGAGATTCTACATCCACTCATTTTAGGTGGTTCTAGATAACACTAGCTTTAATAGAAGTATCTACAGTGCACCGTTCACAAAATTAATGATTCCTACCCTCGACACCCGGGTAAATCCCCACCTTAGAGCAAGTGGCTCCGGAATCATTTCGATAATAGTAGTCGTAGTAGTAGTAGTAGTAATAATAATAATAATAATAATAATAATAATAATAATAATAACAATAATAATAATAATAATAATACAAAAAATCCATGCAAATAATTTTTTAAACACTATTGAAAAGAATAAGAAGAAGTTAGATAAAACTAAAAGAGTGGAAAAAACATAATGACTTTTCCTAAATAGCAACATATGTTTTTTATTTCCCGATGTAGCACTTTTAGTCATTATTCATTAGTCATTATTAAAATAAATGTTCACCATCACATGATATTATTTTCCTTCTAGACATTATTAAGTGTTATTTAAGAGATAGAAAATTTAAGTCTTATATTGAGATATGACTTATGTTTTAGTTCTGTTTAGTGCAGATATTTCTCATACTTATTGTTTCTAAATTGCATTTCACAGAAAAAACATTTGGTGAAAATATATCTTCATTAAAATAAATTAATTCATGATGATGAGATTAAACTTAAATATATTCATTATAAACAAACACTCAATATATACCTTTAAAAAGGAAAATCTTTGTATTACTATGTGGTGATGTTTTATGTGAATAGTAGGAAAAAGTAGATTGATCATATCTATAGTTAACACCTTAAAATTAATCTAAATTTAACATCAATTTAGACTTGGTTAAGAATACCTTATAATATTTGTTATGTGGTGATGTTTTATGTGAATAGAGGAAAAAAATTTATGATCTGTATTTACTATTCTTTATGATGGTATTACAGGTACAGGTGGAGAGGCATCGTCGTCAGGTGCAACGCCGCACTGTCAAACACACACAAGAAGGAATGTACTTTGCGATGTGACAAATGAATGGTATTTATAAATTTTGACGAAAAAATTTAATTAATCCATTTTTTAGTTTGTGGAAGGGTTGCTTACGAAGTAAAACGTCACAAAATGTAATTTTAACAACTTTAAAATTTTACCTATACAATGCTTCAATCATGGAATAATTGTAAACCCATCTCAGCACATTTCTATGTGCAAAAAAGACAAAGAAGTAGTTGAAATAATAAATGAATTTGTCTTATCCCTCATTCCTTGTGATGAAAAGGAATACTAGAGTTCTGATTCTTCGTGCTAACCAGATGTAGATGTAGGTATTGGTGGCGATTGGATAACAGTTGAGTTCTTGAATGAAATCAAATTATCGAGAATTCCAAATCACAGAATAGTTTTGAAAAAAGGGGTACCGATTATGCTATTGATCTGAGGAACATTGACCAAACATCTGGATTGTGTAATAGGACAAGATTAATCGTTCAAGAGATGTGAAATAATGTTATCGGTGCAATTGTGGTTTCGGGAAATTGAGTCGGGGAAAAGGTTTACATCCCTAGAATGAATTTGGTACCATCTGATCCAGGACTACCCTTGAAGTTCCAAAGAAGACAATTCTCGATCGCCTTATGTTTGCTATGACTATCAATAAAAGTTAAGGTCAAACATTATCATTTTTGGGATTATTTTTAACCAAGTTGGTGTTCATACATGGTCAACTTTATGTTGCTGTTTCACGAGTGAAGACAAAAATATGATCAAAGATATTGGTTCTAGATGACAATTAAAAACCCTTGCAACCATACTAAAAATGTTGTATATCCTGAAATCTTTTAAAAAATTTGGTATTAAAATAAATATTGTTAACTCTATATTCAGTTCTTAAATAGTATTAAGTTTACTTTGACATTTTCATCTACAGTATTAAAAATTATGTGAGCAATACATTTTCATTATCCCGAAAAATAAATTTCATTGAAATAATTCAGAATCGACATAAATTGCATTCGACCCCGTGCATGGCACGGGTCAGGATGCTAGTATGATACACATAACACTTTAGAATGTAGGAATGTGAGAAGTGTTCTACTCGACATGCATGCTATTAGGGTGTAGGGCATGGACATGGTAAAATGAAGTTCGTACCAAAATAAGATGACGTGACATTTTGGTAAAGAGGGTAACATTACCCCTTACCATTTGGTACCAAAAGTAATTGGAAAAAGAGTTATGGAGTTGCTGATCATACCAGGCACATTTCTCTCATCTCTTTGTGTTTTTATTTTTGTTTCTCTAATTTTTGGTATTTTAAAATTAAATGTTAAAAAAATTAAATATTACTCCATATTTAACTATATTTTTTCGTATATGTAATTACTCATTTCACATCATTTTTAATTATATAATTTTATTTTACTAAATACCCTATAGAGTCAAACCCAAACTATTAATTTATAACAGATGGAGTATTAAATAAATATTTTAAATTTATTTTATATTATTGACCGGAGTTAATTATTTGAAAAATATTCTAAAATTAATTTATAGTATTATATTAATTTAATCATTTAAAAATTATTGTAGCATGTTGGTGAATTGGTATATGTATACCATCACCTCTAGTAAGAAAAATATGCAATTAATTGAGTATGATGTGACATGCATATGCCGAAGAGAAATAATACACTAAAAAAAGTATACACTACACACTTGGTGAGTTTTGAGACATGTATATGAACTATGAAGACTTTTATAGGTTGAGCCGGATACTCAGATTCATCGGGTCTACTAAAATATGCTTGTTTTAAACTTTGACCCATAATTTTCAAAATCAGGCCGGTGACCGAATCGATCAAGGTACTGGTTCACTGGTCAAATCAATGGTTTAAACATATTTAAAAATTATATACATACACAGACACACATAGTCACACACAGACACATACATACATGAGTAATTTATTTAAATAGCACTAAAACAAAATGTCTTTCCCTAAATAGCACCACATGTGTTTTTCTTCCCAATGTAGCACTTTTAGTCATTATGCATTAGTCATTATTCAAGTAAATATTTGCCATTACTGGACATTATTAAGTGCTATTTAAGGAATAAAACAGTTTAAGTATTCCGTACTATTTAGGGAAATGACTTAAGTTTTAATGCTATTTAGTGCAAATATTTCTACATACATACATATAGGCACACACATTCTCATTTATAAATACTTAAAGAAAGTAATTTATAACATTTGATTGAAATTATATTAATATATTCGAGTTATTTTACTAAATTAAAAAATAAAATTTACATATTAAAAAAATATTAAAATTTTATAAATGAAGAGTTGATTTTATTTTTTTCAAATAAGTTGTTTAATATTAAAAAATACTCAAATAGTATCAATAATATCAATCATTTTGTGTTTGACTCATAGCTATATAATATTATATTTTTAAAATTGAAAAGGAATTGTTATATATTTTTTTAATTATGAAATATTACTAAAGATTATGTGAACTTATAACAAAAAAGCACTCTTGCTTGGATTTCTAGGAACTCACCAAATGTCTAAGAGGTATGGGATTCAAACCTCCACAGAGGCATGTTTTGGAGAAAAATTGAAAAAAACTGGTCGGACCGGTTCGACCGGCTGGTTTAAACCGGTTCGGACATGTTCAAAGCAGATTCATGTGAGAATGTAACTTGGTGAAAGAAATAAGAATAAAATTTAGCCTTTGGATTTGATGCACCGTGCGGCTCAGATTGCACCCTGCGCTCAAATTTTGAGATAGTGCATTTTCAAAGGATTTTGGTGCATTACAACATGACGCATTTTCAAACCATTTTGGTACACCTAATTTTAATGCAATCATAACCCTTAGATCTCATTATTTAAAGCACTAGATTCATTCTTATTTTCTTTTATAAGATCAGATTCTTACTTGAACGTATATATATATGTGTGTGTGTGTGTGTGTATTTATTTCAGAACTACTTTGAAAATTCTGTAAAACAAGGAACACATATTATTTTATTTTTTCAAATTATGAATAAAATAAATTATGAGTTACACTTCGTAAAACATAATTTGACCCAACAAATAATAAAATAAAAATATTATTACGAGATGAATGAAGTATAATACAATATACGAAGTAATTATCATGTGTGACTACTAATATGGTCGATGAAATATAGAATGAACCTCAGATTTTTCTAAAGATTTAGGGTCTGTTTGAGAATAGTGTTAGAGATTAGCGTTAGCGTTTTAGATAAGATTTTTACGTTGTAGATTATTTTAAAAGCGCTAACGCTAAATGCTGGCCGTAGATAGCCTTTTCAAAACATTAACGCTAATCTCTAACGTTATTCTCAAACACGCCCTTACACTAAAATGTACATTATTTTATAAATTTAGTGGGACTAATTATTTTTCACGTAAATTCAGTGGGACAAAAATAGTAGCTAATTTATACTTTAATTTAATTACCTAAAAAGTTAAACAAATTCCATAAAAGTTTTCCAAAAAATTTAAAAAATTCCCATAAAAGTAATTTTAGAAAACATTTAACCTCAACCCTCAAGATTGGGGTGTCGCGTGTCCTTATCCGCACTCACTCATCTTTCACTGATTTGAATACTAATTTCATTGCCAAATTTTATTAATGGTCTGAAAACCTGAAATCTCAGGCAAAATTGTAGGCGACCGGAAAAAAGAATGATTCTTTCAAATCCCGTCACAACAACTTGGGCAAAGACCCATTCTCTTTGCTGTAGATCCACCATCGCCGGGCCGCCATTTCCGAGCTCCACCAGAAGAAACCATCTTCCTCAATCTTGCTCCGCCACTCGCACTAATGACCAGACAGATGTCTCACCCAAGCTCGATTTCAAGAGGTACGTCATGGAGAAGGCGACGTCGGTGAACAAGGCCTTGGAAGGCGCAATCTTGCTGAAGGAGCCGCTCAAGATCCACGAATCCATGAGGTACTCCCTCCTCGCCGGCGGCAAAAGAATCCGACCCATGCTCTGTCTCGCCGCATGCGACCTCGTCGGCGGCGACGAGGAAGCCGCCATGCCCGCGGCCTGTGCGGTGGAGATGGTCCACACCATGTCTCTGATCCACGACGACCTTCCCTGTATGGACAACGACGATCTGCGGAGAGGGAAGCCCACGAACCACAAGATATACGGCGAGGACGTGGCCGTGCTCGCTGGCGATGCTCTACTCGCCCTCGCATTCGAACACATAGCCACAGCCACCAAAGGGGTTTCTCCCGGGAGAATTTTAAGGGCAATTGGCGAATTGGCCAATTGCGTAGGGTCGGAAGGTCTTGTGGCCGGGCAGGTTGTTGATTTATGCTCAGAGGGAGTTTCCGATGTGGGATTAGAGCAGTTAGAGTTCATCCACCTGCACAAGACGGCGGCTTTGCTGGAAGGGTCAGTGGTGTTAGGGGCGATTTTGGGCGGAGGAGGGGATGAGGAGATAGAGAAGCTGAGGAAGTTCGCGAGGAACATCGGGCTGTTGTTCCAGGTGGTGGATGATGTTCTTGATGTCACAAAATCATCGGAGGAGTTGGGGAAGACTGCCGGGAAGGATTTGGTTGCAGACAAGGTGACATATCCCAAGCTGATTGGGATTGAGAAGTCTAAAGAGTTTGCTGCAAAGTTGAATGAAGAGGCTCGGTCTCAGCTCTCTGGGTTTGATCAAGAAAAGGCAGCTCCTTTGATTGCTCTTGCCAATTACATTGCTCATAGGGACAATTGATTCTGCTGTAATTTGATTATATGATACTGAGAGATGAAAATATGCCATTGTTGTATTATAGCTAATTGATATCAATTAGCTTTTATAGTTGATGAAAACACTTTGTTGAAAAACATTGATATAAGCAGAGAAAAGGAATTGAAACATTCAAAAAGTAACAATAAACAAGTTTATAGAGTTCATTCTTCTGATTTTTACTATGCAATAGTAAAAATAATGACAATAACAAATCGAGTCCTCTTTGATTTCATTCTCACCATCTGCTGAAAGTGAGTCCTTTACATTTTTTATTTAATTTATCAATCTGCATTTCTTGTTACTTCTGTTTGACAAGTGATTTGTGATGTTAGAATCCAGAGGGTCGTTGGTATCGGCTGCCCTACTCGACTTTGTTGACTCTGGTCAAGACTTAATTCTGGCTGCTGATGGCAATGTGTTTGGTTTGATCAGGAACATAGCTGCAGAGTGTGGTGTTGATTTTGATGAGGTATCTCTCAAAGATTGATCTATTGACTACTACTTTAGTTAATTTCTTTCACTTTTTTTTTGTTATGGACTTCAACAGTTATGCTGGCGAAAAATGAAAACCTTGATGTCCATTCTTATTGCCTCCATCTCTTGCTGGGTCTTCCCATCTCATTGGTTTCAGTAATGCAGGTATATATATATTTTGTTTTCATGTTGTTAGTCCACAAACGTTATGTACTCTTTCTTTATAAATTTGGTTAATCCCTTCGGTGAACTTATGCTGGGATTCGTGATAACCAGGCTAGAAATAATGCACACATTTTGGTATCTGGTTCTTTATCAATGTTCGGTGATAGGTGTGTATAGTCCTAAAATTGCATTCACTTTGTTTTTCGTACTCATTGGTTGACAGGCTCAACTTAACTCTTCGTGTACTTCCAGAGTTCACAGATCAGGAGTGCTGAAAGCTGGGACTTCAACTAAGTGTATGAAGTTCTATATTTTCTTCCCAGTTCCAACAATATTTCCATTTCTTTATTCAGAAGATCAATTTTATGGGATTCTCTCAAATTACCCATATCTTAGAGTACTAGTTTGGATCCACAAAAGGGGTCATCTGTAGGTGAGCCGCAAAAGCAGCTGTACGTTGTCCATCCCTTGATTTTGGATTCAGATTTTACATTTTTCTGTCACTGGCCATCAATCTGAAGCACCACAGAATTGATGAAAAAGAAGAACGCACGGTGTATAAGATCAAAGATGACCTGGTTAGTTCGTAAACTTAGTACCACGCTGCACCTTTTTTGGAAACCACACTGTTCATTTGGTTTTTTTACCACTAATTTATCTAGCAGAAGGTCTTGATAATGAAAAAAACAATGAATTGAAGTGCTTTTTTTGGGTTAAAGTTGCTGAAGTTGATAAGGATTTGGTTGCAAACAAGGTGACATATCCCAAGCTGAATGGAATTGAGAAGTCTAAAGAATTTGCTGCAGAGTTGAATAAAGAAGCTCAGTCTTAGCTCACTGGTTTTTTTTTAAATCAAGAAAAGGCAGCTCCTTTGATATATTGCTCTTGCCAATTACATTATTTTGCTCATAGGGACAATTGATTCTTCTACACTTTGATTATTTGATGTTGAGAGATGAAAAGATTACAGCTAATTGATCTCAATTCGCTTTTAGAGCTGATGAAAACAATTTCTCAAAGAACTATTGATCTCCCTAATGTGAACATCATGTGATGATGACTCAACCAGTAAATCTCTGGATTTTCTGGGGAGGGAGGTCTTAATTGAGGACCAAGTATGATGTAAAGTTGATCAAATTACCTGTCAAAACTATGGAAGCCAAAAACATTTTAAAAGGAATTGTTCATTCACAAAGTGACAATACACAAGTTTTTAGAGTTCATTCTTCTGGTTTTAAGCTTTTTTAACTAGAGTATAATCAGTATATAGTCTGTATGCAATAGTAAAGAATAATTTTGGGAAGGATCATATAGAAGTAGAGTGGGGGGGAAGATATTTTAAGAATTAACCTTATTTAAAGTAAATTAAAAGTTACTCGTCTAAGAGACCGGAGTGCGATAGTAAATTATACTCCTTCCGTCTCAAAATATTTTACGCTTTACGTAAAACGAAATGAAATTTCAAGTTTTTAAAATTCATTTTAATTAATGTTTGGTATACAGAAATTAAATATAAAACTTACACATTTAAGAATTGCATCAGAAATTTTACAAAATAAAATATAATAAAAATAATTTATTTTATCAAATAATCAATCAAAATGTACAAATAAACAAAGGTTTTTGTGATGTTAGAATAATGAAGGGTGTAATTCTTTTTAAGAGAGAGCATTAAAATTTTGGTTAGCAAAAAGTGTAAATTTGGTTAGTAAAAACTAAAAATTGTACAGTAATTTTGGATCTTTTTTGCATGAAAAGGTAAGGGCACTGGAAATACCCGTGAAGCCCCGGGGCTTCAAAATTTTTCTCTCTGCCATGTCAGCTTTAACCTTACAGATTCAGTGGAAATGGGTTTGAAGCCCCGAGGCTTCAAACCTTCATTTTTTACCTTTTTAAATATACATCTTCTAAAACTAAATTAATAAAATTTAATTATTTTATTATTTAATTATATTGAAACAAGAATAATTAAACAAATACATTTATTAAATCCAAAGAAATTGAAACGACAATAATTTAAAAAAATTACATTCATTAAATTAAAAAAAGAAAGCGACAATAATAAAAAAATACATTAATAAAAAAACTAAGGTAAATTATATTTGGTCTTGATTTTTTTTGTCTTCTCTCGAAGATCATACGTTTGAAGGCCAATAACGTAGAAAGGTCGATTTCCATGATTTCGATCTCGTCCTTCTCTTCCTTTCGCTTCATCCTCTCTTCTTCTCGAATATTGAACACCTGAAGTTATTCAACCATTGCTCGACCGATTTCGTCGCGAGAAGAAACGGAAACAAAGCCAGACCATCCAGAACCCGAGGCAATGGATTTTGCCTTCTTTCTTCCGATCGGGCGTGGAATGAGGTCCTCGTCATCGGAATCCGCAACATTGAAGGGAGGTCTTTGTTTGGACAAACCGATAGTGTCATCGACCTCAACCTCGGCGTCGACGGAGGATCTTTTCTTTGACGATCCGCCGTCGGAATTGTTGAGTTGTTGCCACTTCGGTGAACGGTTCAAAATCCTCCAAAGATCGATGGGCACCTTACCTTGGTGCCCGTCATCTTGATACCGAGCCGTGGCAAGCCGGAGAACATCGACGTCGTTCGTCCCGCTCCTCCGGGACTGGGCGCATTCCTCGTAAACTCCGATAAACTTTCGGACTTTACGGTTGATGTGGCTCCATTTGGAAGTGAGTTGGTCCCGGGTACGGTAGGATCCATCCTTGTTCATCGTCGTGAAGAACTTCTCCTCGATACGATCCTACATCGCATCCTTCGTTTGCTCCGAACCTTTAAAAAAGTATAAGATGATTTTTTTATAACACGATTATATATATAATTTTATATAAATAAAAACATAAATATATTAGAAAACATATAATTTTTACCAATGATAGGATGTTCGGAGACGTCAACCCAATCCGACGCCAACAAGCACTCTTCCTCCGGTGTCCACTTTTGGACTGACCGTGCCGCCTTGGTCATCGTGCCTTTCGCTTTGTGGCTCTTCCGGCGTGCACTTTTTTTGGTGCCGAATGGTCCCGGTTGAGTCTCCGGAACGGACTCCCGCTCATAGACGTACCCCGATTGTTACGTCTCGAACATCGACGCATTACTCGTGAATTGTTGGAAATACCACATGCCGTGCTCGTTAGGCTCGAGATTGTCGAGGAAGAAGTCGGAGCCGGAAGGATTCATGTTGAAAAGAGAGTTGGAGAGTTGAAGAATTGAAGAAGATGTGAAGAAGATTGATAGGTTTGAGAATTAGAGATTGAAAAGTGTGAGAATTGGAAGAGATGAGTTTGAAATTTATAAAAAAAATAAATTTTTTAAATTTGGCAACAGCTATTCTAGTCGTTAGAACGGGGAGGGCATGAAATCCGCCGTGTTTAACGCCTTCGAGAGTTAAAAATTGGGTTTGAGGCCTGTGGGCGTCACACTCGTTTGGACTGCTCTAAAGTCTAAATATCTACTCAGGGCGTTAACTCAATTTTTTTAACGGTCAACCAAATCCCTGGACGAAGCCCTTTCTTCTTCGTCTTCTGGAAGTCCGGATCCGGAAACCCTAGCTCCGCCAAGTGATCATGGAGAATCTCCGCGCCATTCTCTTCATCACATTGATTTCTGCACTGTGCCCAAGCTTAACCCGGTCATTCTCGCCCGATAACCCGACGGATCGCCGCATTCTTGTTCTGATCGACGACGCGTCCATCAAGTCATCACACTCCCTCTTCTTCAAATCTCTCCAATCTCGTGGTTTCGAGCTTGAGTTTAAGCTAGCTGATGATCCCTCCATCTTTGTCCAAAGATATGGACAGTACATGTACGATGGGCTCATTTTATTCTCACCATCTGCTGAAAGTGAGTCCACTGATGTTCGTTCAAGTCATCTTTGATTTGATTTTTTTTTTGAATTTATCAATCTGCATTTCTTGTTACTTCTGTTTGACAAGTGATATGTGCTGTTAGAATTCGGAGGGTCGTTGGACTTGGCTGCTGTGCTGGACTTTGTTGACTCGGGTCGAGACTTGATTCTGGCTGCCGATGCCAATGCGTCCGGTTTGATCCGTAACATAGCTGCAGAGTGTGGTGTTGATTTTGATGAGGTATTTCTCAAAGTTTTCTTTTTTGTTATGGACTTCAATGATTATGCTGATGAAAAATGAAAACCTTGATGTCCATTCTTATTTCATATTGAAATTGGTTGACAAGAAAACTGATCATTGAGAGGTGAATACAAATTGAGCCCGCACCGCTTGAAATTTTGAAAATGCCATTGTATCCATCTTTCAAATGGTCAATCAACTTATATTGTGTTGCGTGGAAGAATTAAATCTGATCTTTGTGTAATTTTTATTGTATGATTTAATCTGTGAAAGTGAAGTTTCACATTGAATGAATATCGAGTCTTTAAGAGGAAATGCTCATTGTGGCTTATAATATTTCTTTTGCTTCTAAACAAGTGCCAATTACACGTTTTAACCTTTCAATATTTTTCTTAAACTTCATGAAATCAAACTATTTCTTTTTTAGGGACAAAGGGATTATAGTAGAAAAATGTAATAACTAGGTATGGACGATTGTCTTGGGTTCACGATCTCTTTTTGCTTAATAGTTAGCCTTGGTGATCTAATACTTCATCAATGTGGTCTTGTCCTTGATCCATTAAACTGAAATCTAATGGTAATGTTCATGCAACAGGATCCTTCTGCCATGGTTATTGATCATTCAAGCTATGCTATCTCTGAAACTGAGGGAGATCATACTCTAATTGCATCTGACAGTTTTATTGAATCCAATGTTATCTTAGGAAGTAGAAAGATTGAGGTTAGTTTTGAATTTAACGTATAGCGTTTAAATAGCTTCAAGCCATTTTACAGGTTGGAATCGTGAAAGTTCACTTTCTGTACATACATGCATATCTGACATGTTTACATCTGCTTGAGGACCATTATCATAAGTTCCTTTGACTGTGCACTCTCTTCTTTCTTGACCATCATTATTTTTCTCTTTTGTAACTCTTGCCATCACATTCTTGGAACGTTCGTTACAAAAATCATTTTCTGGAGTAATGTTTTCAATTTTGTAACTATGATCAGGCTCCAGTACTATTCAGAGGGATTGGTCATTCATTAAGTCCTGATAATAGCTTGGTAACATTATAAAAATAATACTACGTACATGTTTGGTCTACATCTAAATAATTCTATGACTAGCAATATTCAAGTGCATGTTTTATAAAGCTTCTTTTTCTTGGTGATTGAATTTTGTCATAGGTCTTTAAAGTCCTTTCAGCTTCGCCTTCAGCATACTCTGCTAACCCTAAGTCCACATTGGTAAAGCCTCCATCTCTTGCTGGGTCTTCCATCTCATTGGTTTCAGTAATGCAGGTATATATTTTGTTCTCATGTTGATGTATATCTTCTTTATAAATTTGGTTAATCCCTTCAGTTAATTTATTGGATTTGTGATAACCAGGCTAGAAATAATGCTCGCATTTTGATATCTGGCTCTTTATCAATGTTCAGTGATAGGTGTGTATAGTCCTAAAATTGCATTTACACTGTTTTTCAGACTCTTTAGTTGACAAGCTCAACTTACCTCTTATCTTACTTCCAGATTTTACAGATCAGGCGTGCTGAAAGCTGGGAGTTCAACTAAGTGGGTGAAGTTCTATATTTTCTTCCGAGTCCCAACAATATTTGCATTTCTTTTTTCAGAAAATGAATTTTCTGGGGTTTTCTCAAATTACCCATATCTTAGAGTATGAGTTTGGATCCTGGAGAGCACTAGGAAAGGAAATACATGCTAAGGAAAGTTATTATCTTGTTTTTGGTTTTACCTCGGGGGATGCAAAGGAAAATAAAGTAGATTAATGTTCATAAAACTTCTATATATGTTTATATTGATTGGTATTCAGGTGATAGAAATAAATAAATGAGTTTGCACAAATAGCAATAATATATTACTCCTTAATTGTGTTCGAACCAATGTTTTATTTTCGCTCAAACTTTCTTTCCTTCCAATTTTCTCCTATATTGAGTGCCGATGAACTAACAGAGGGAGGTTACTACTGTAAACAGATTTGAGAAATCCGGCAATGAACAGTTTCTTACTGAACTCAGTAAATGGATTTTCCACGAAAGGGGTCATCTGAAGGTGAGCCACAAAAGCAGTGTACATTGTCCATCTCTTGATTTTGGATTCAGATTTTACATTTTCTGTCACAGGTCATCAATCTGAAGCACCACAAAATTGATGAAAAAGAAGAACCTGCAGTGTATAGGATCAAAGATGACCTGGTTAGTTTACACACTTAGTACCATGCTGCAGCTTGTTTGGAAATCTTACTGTTCATTTGGTTTTTACAACTAATGCCATTTAGTTTGAGAAAGTGTCTCATGCCATATGTTTGCTCTTTTGGCAGGAATTCTCTGTGGAAATTTATGAGTGGTCTGGAAATAGCTGGGTACCATATGTCACTAATGATGTTCAGGTGCAGTTCTACATGATGAGCCCCTATGTATTGAAAACCTTGGCTACCGACCAGAAGGTATTAAATTTATGCAGTATGTTTGGGTATATTTGCAGTTCAGGTCCCTCTAGAGTGGCACTTTCCATCCAACCATCCACATTCATGTATTCAATTTACTTGCAGGGGCTCTATCATACTTCATTCAAGGTGCCAGATGTTTATGGGGTTTTCCAGTTTAAACTTGAGTATCACCGGCTTGGATATACCAGCTTATCACTTTCAAAGCAGGTAAGATGACTCGCAACTATTCTTTTGTATCGCTTGCACCTTATGTTAGATTATCAATTATGTATGTATATAGTGTAAATACATGCTGACATAATTACAAAACCTTGCAGATTCCAGTACGACCATTCAGACACAACGAGTACGAGAGATTCATAACTACAGCGTACCCTTACTACGGCGCTTCATTTACCACTGTAAGAATATCTCCTTTCTCTCAATCACTTCTCTCAAACACTTTCACACTTTAATAACAAATCCACCCGGAGATATATAGGATTAGAGTAGTAGTTGGGCCGACCTTTGGGCCTTAGGGCTTGTACATGATCCTGATTGGTGTTCTGATTGGAATGAGTTTTGATCTGGTATGATCTGATTGTAGCTATATTTAAAGTTTCTGATCTGATCTGATTTCAGTAAGCATAAGTAATGCTCCGTAAGTAATAAGAATAAGTGGAACAAAACAAGCTCTTAGTTTGTAGTTTACGTTGGTGTTTTTTTGTTGTAGTCTGTAGCTTGTGCATGTATGTTTTATGTGCTTTCGCCTTTCGGTCTAGCTGCCACTGTCGGTACATGTACTTATGTCTGTGCTATTACATTGTATCTGTGTTTACTTTGTATGTGCTTCTGTGTTTTAGCCTCTCTACTTTTATGTAAGGGTATTGTCTGTTGCCCCTACCCCGGACCTTATTTTTTGTGAGATTTTACTGGATTTTTGTTGTTGCAAATAAAACAGATTTGTTATTTGTATGCAGATGGCAGGGTTCTTCATATTTAGCTTCGCCTTCCTTTACCACAAGTAGAAATGAGGCCTTTTTGGAGGTTTACTTTACGGAGCACTTAACGGATGTTAACTGGATTTTGTGAATCCCATGACGTTAATTAGAATGTATTGTTAATCTTATATTTAAGAGTAAAATCTCAAAATGGTATTCAATAACTACGTTTTTTTCTCAAAATAGAACTCGAGATGAATTAATTTCCAAGATGATACTCGTTAATTGAAAACAATGCCCAATTTAATTTCCAAGATGATACTCGTTAAATGTGAAAATAGATGTTTAAGATTGTTTACAATTATTTAGAATAATATCATGTTAATAACGTATTTAATAAGTGTTATTTATTTGATCTTTTAGTTTTGAAATAAGGCTACTATTTTCGTTTACGATATTTGACTAAAAATTTTTAAAAAATATTTTAGAAACAGATTCTCATAGTATAATAATAATAATAATAATAATAATAATAATAATAATAATAATAATATCTCTATTACAATGTATTTGTCCAATTTGAATAGAATTTGAACCGGAGAGCAATAAGTGATGCTCGTGGTGGCCAAGGCCATCACATTCACCATGGTGAATTTATTCTTTCTTCTTTTTTGGTTCTTTGTCTTGCTTTCGTCTTCTTTTTCTTCCTTTCTTTCTTTCTCTTTAATTTTTTTTCTACTTTTCAATATTTTTGTTTTGAATTTTAGTTTTTTTGTTAATTAAATGAATTTTTTTGAATAGTTTTTAAAATAAAATTTTAATTTTTTATATGTATTTTTAAATTTAATATTAATAAACTACAATATATATTTTGTAGTTTAAGTAATTTTAATTAAAATAGATGTGAAGAAGAATATAAAAGAAAGAAAAAAGGATGGACATATTTTTTTTCAATCCAGTACTTTTATTTATTTCTATCATCTATAGCGATTTCACATTATGTCAAGGTAAATTTTAATTTTAATGTTAACTAAATCTTAGTATAAAATGCTTTTATTATATGTTAATTTTGATGTTAATAAATAAAAAAGTTAGGCATGATGCTAATAATAACACACCCAAGACATGACCTTGCACACAAAAAGGAGTAGGGTTCCATGGTAAGTGACCATATATTATTCTCTTTTAAATGGTCGACTTTGCCCTTTGCTAAAGCCGCAAACGCGTGTAAAAGAGAGACTCTACTCTTCTCTTCCTCCGTCCGAGTTGGACTCGTCTCCCTTCCACCTCACTATCCACAGCACACCGGGTCAGTCTTTCCCCTTTCTTTTTATCTCGTTCTCTCTTCTTCTTCTTCTTTTTTTAAAAAATTAATGTGTATTATTTTCTCTGTTTATTTAAATTCAAACCTTCACGACTCTCAGACGAATTGCCGATTTACTGCTAGATTAGATTTTTTTTAAATAATTATTCGTTGGTTCTATTTTCTATGTTTTTTAATTTAAAAAAATCGGACAGGGTAGGTTAATCCAGACATTCGAGAGCCAATTTCGTAGTTCAAGCTCGGAATTCAATTAATTCTATTATAATCAAATTAATGGATGTGAGATTGGCCGGACAAGTTACAGAGTTGTTCTAGATTTAAGCCCTCTTTTGTTTTCAGTCAATTAATTTATATACTTCCGTATTTCTTACACTGTAAGAGGGTAAGTTTTTTATACTAGCCGGCCAACCACATTGCGTTCCCACCACAAGAAACCTCCACCTCCGTCTTGGACCTACGGATTAGTATATGCCGCTTGCCCCTACTCGTTTGGTCATATCCTAACTAGAGTGAGATTTTTTGAGAGCGTAGTTACTCGGTACTAGTGATACCTACAAAAATAGAGTTTAACTCTCAAACGCTTATATAGGTGAAAGTAAGCCCTTTTTGTTGGTAGGGTGGCTCGAACTTAAGACCTCTCATAAGGAGAGAATCTTATGTGTGAAGTGGTTGCTATTAGACCACTCCAGCTTGTCATGTATATCTATTATTGACTTAGGCTCTGTTCTTTTGGGTTGTAAAGACATAGCTGGATATTGGAAGAAATTAAAAAGAATTGGAAGAAATTAGAAGGAATGTGAAGAAACGGGAAAGAGTAAAATAACTGGAAGGAGTTGGAAAGTATTAGAAAAAATAAAGTGTTAAAAAAATCACTCAATTAAATAGACACCCAAATAAAAATGTAAGAAAACTAATTTTAAATTAAAAAATCATCTTTGTCTGCGTCTGAGGTGGTATATTATAAATTTGGATGCATAATATTATTATATACTCATCATGTAAATACTTTTTTTATTTGTTCTTGGAAGAAATTGAATAGAATTGAAAAAAATGGAAGGAGTTGGAAGAAACTGAAAGAAGTTTGAAGGAATTGGAAGGAGTTGAAAAAGTTGAAAGTTAACTTTTCTAACCCAAATGAACAAACCCTTATTACTATTATCAGATATATACGGATTAAATGGTAGTTTAATAGCAAACATCATTTTAGTTAAATTATAGTCCCTACATTTTTGTTTACTTGACCCATTTCGCCTTCCTCCTCTATTCAATTAAATTTATTTTCAATTCAATTTATTTATCTGAGTCATTATAAAATTTAAAAAATATACTCCCTCCGTCCACAAATAAACTTTACGTTCACTATTCACAGGGTCAAACTTTATTCATTTTGTTGGCCTATTTTCGTCACCCATTTGATAAAATAATATAGTCATGTCACCTCTAGTTTTGTAGATCTTTTGATATAGTTTTTTAATATGTAATTTTTATTTTTTAATTCTACACCATTTTTCATATAAAATGATTTGAAAATAACTTCAGTCAAACATCGTAACGCGTAATGTAAAGTTTATTTGTGGACGGAGGGAGTATATATTTAAAAACTATAAATTATATCAAAATTTCTACACAAAAAGAGTGAATTGACTATTATTTTATCACCTAAGTAAAGAAAATATGCTAATAAAGAGAATAACATTTTCCCTACAATGAATGAAACAATAAAGCCTTATTGACTAGGTGGGTTAGGCTACATGGACCAAACGACGTCATTGCGCTATACTATGTATCATATCTACTCTGAGATTATTCATGCGAAGGCCCCCTTCATCACTTTGTGTCAAGTCTTTTTTTTAGGTCTACCTCTTCCTCTAGCTACATGTCTATTCACCATTTGATTAACCATACTCACGGGATGCTTTATTGGTCTTCTCTCAATCTCTTTACATGTCCAAACCACCTAAGATGAGTTTCCACCATCTTTCCTACAATAGGCGTAACTTCAATTTTAGCTCTCTTATCTTCACTCCTTTTTCTATCCATACACGCATGACCGTTCATCCACCGAATCATCTTCATTTTCGCCACCAAGGGCGGCCTGCCTGGGTACGTGTTGATGAATGTATGGCGAAGAGTACCCAACTGCCGATTTGCAATTTCCGCCGTGGAAGTGCCCCCAAATTCCGATCTTTGCAGCGGCACAAACTGTCTCTTCTTGCTACGCAACATTTTTTATTTTTTAAGTAAACAACGTAGTTTTCTTTTAAAAAAAGTTAACGACATAGTTTTGAAAAAAAATATTCCGTTCGTTCAAAAATTTATCTTCTCGTTTACTATTCATTGGGTCAAATCTTATTGATTTTGTTGGTCTATTTTCGTTGCCCATTTGATAAAATAATATAATCATGACATTTTGGGTTTGAATTTTTCACCATTCTTCATATAAAATATTTTGAAAATAATTTTAGTTAAACATTGTAACGCACTCACTGAGTAGTGACCCAACCCCTAGGCGTACACACGCAAATTGTGATGCCAGAACCCGCTCTTCCGCCGCTCCACCTCTAAGCTTTGGGGAGTTCTCGGTGCAAGTTGTTTTTTTAAGATTATAATTCTTTAATTGTATTGAGTAAAATTTTTGTTTAATTGTTGTATCAAAAGAAGAATGATGATATATTCATATTTTAATTAATTATTTTTTATTTGTGTTTTTGTTTGCTATTTTGAGGGATTATAATTATTTACGGAGTATTAAATATTCAATTACATTGTTTTGTTGTTTCAAATGAAGAATGATGATAAATTTATAATTTAATTGAGTAATTTGTAGTTTGCATTTTTGTTTCTATTTGCGTTGGTGTTCTATTACTTTAATATTTATTGTATTACGGAGTATTTTATTATTATGAACTGTAGGCATGGACAAATTTGTTACTCCGTATTAGACAACAACAAAATATGCCATTATTTTGTAGTTATATTTTGAAATATTTAAATGTATGAGACAAACTTTATAAGTTTTTTTGTGTCAACACAAAAATTTGTTACTACTTTTTTGTTAGGGGTATTTCATATTGGTGTTTCAAAAAAAAAAATCCGGAGCGCTCTCTTGTCTCATCCTTCGTTCAACCCATCTTTCCCACAACTTCATCGTATGACTCATGAGCTTGATTCCTCTATAGTTTCCACAACTCTGAAATACCCTTATTCTTGTAAAGAAGGACCAACATGTTCTTCCTTCATTTGTTAGGTAGCTTCTCAGATCTTAAAATCTCATTAAAAAGCTTAGTTAGCTACCAAATGTCTTTTCCTCATAAACCTTTCCAAATTTTAATCGGGATGTTATCTGGGCTCACTGCTCTGCTATTCTTCATCCGTGTTAGGCCTCGTTAACTTCAATTTCTTGAATTCTTCGATAATAATTGAAGTTTTGGTCCTCATCCCTCGTGTGCCACTTTTGTCTCCGTTTTAGCCATGTTATATCTTTCCCAACTTTCCAAATTACGGCATAAAGACCACTCCTTGAAATGTAGTGAATGAAACAAGTAAAAAGAAACAGGAGTATATATTTTAAAGTAGTCAGAGTTGTATAGGACTGTCACAGATACAATGGTACCAAAGCTATTATGTGCTCTGTGCAGTAACCCTTTTTTTATAAGTAAATATTGTACTGCGTATTAATTTTCCATATAAAGGATCTTTTTTTCTATAAATGCATTCTCTTTGTTTGTTTTCATGCATTCAATTGGATCAAACTTTTTCAAACATAGATATTCACAGATCTAATGGGGTCCAGCGATGAAGGTACTCCTGCAAAGCCTTCAAAGCCTACTTCAGCCCAGGTCCTCATCCTCTTTAATTGGTTATATGCAACTACCACTTCTGTCTCTCTCTGAGTCTATAGTGGCTTGTCATTTACCAGTCACCTTCCTTTCTACTAATTTACAGGAGGCACCACCAGCCGTTCCTTCATATCCTGAGTGGGCAAACCATATGCAGGTTTGCTATTAAACCAGTTTGGGACTAAATCATAAT